ATTCCTAACTCATGCATATCTAACTTCATAAAATCATAACTCGAGCCACAGAGCACATATCAACATTAAATTTATCTCATTTGAAAGGTAAAAGAAAGATCTATAACTTTTATGAAGAGTGTAAGTTCATACTAGCACATTTTGACACGAAAAACAGACCAAACATCAAATCCCATTTTGCTGTCGGGTCCGGAAAAACTGGAAGTACAACGAATTTTGCAAAAATCATAACTTTTCCGATAGAGATCGGAATCAAGGAATTCCAAAGCCCAGATATAGAAAACTGAAAACACTACGATTCTTGTGAAGATCACGAATTCAAATACTCAGTCTAAGATGGCTCAAACCGCAGCACAACAGAAAAGTAAAAATTTGACTTCACATAAAATGACAATCATATTCATTTTGGATGTTCGAATTTCAAGCTCGGTTCATAAGAAGCCTCGACAATACAGAATATCATATTTACAGCAGCAAACAATGAACATAGAGGGAATTTCAAAACATCTAACGATATTTGATAATTATTAAACGGCAAATTATTAGAATCGAACATATAGGATCACCGAACATAAAATCCTACGTCGCAAAACGGATTTACCGAACACCAAAGGGGAATAGTCAAGCCTCGGTTTCAGAGTTTCAGAAACGACAAATCCTACGGGCGAGGAAGATCGTCTGCTTGACTCGCTCGACGTCTAACGGCGGCTCGCTCGACGAAGGAGATGACCGAAGGTGGCTCGTGCCCGTGAAGGTGTTGTCTCCGGTGATGATGGTGGCTGGCGCTGCTGTCACGAGGAGGTCAATGGCGAGGCTCTCGGTGGCTGCGGCTGCGCGTGGAGGAGCGATGGAGGAGCGCGGGCGACGTCTTTTTCCGGCGAAACCAAGAGAGTGAAAAAGGAACAAGAGAGAGAGTGGGTGATGGATGAGAGAGGACGAGAGAGAGATTGAAAAATGAGAGGTGTGTGCGTGAGGAAGAAATAAGGAGAGGGTTACATATCATTTATGGTGTTATAAATCTCTCAATTGGTAAGTTACAAAAGTTAAAAAGTCTCATGAGTTAATTTTCAAAAAAAAAAAAAAAAGGTCAAGGCATGAAGGGGAGTGATTTGTATTAACTTCCATTTTCAAAAATTCAAAAGGTTTCCTATGCATGCACAAAACGGAATGAAAGGCTCGGCCGTTTTCTTCTTCACGCGGAGCGGTTTTGAGTGGCGAGTTCGGTTCGATAAATTACACCCGCATAAACGCTCGGTTTAATGTCTCGTTTATTTAATATTTTCGGTTCGACCGAAAATAAAATAAATAATATTATTCGGCTCGACATTAAAATTAATACAATTTAGCAATTACGAGCATGTAATAAAAAATAAAATTATCGAGCCCGAAAAATTAATTCGGAAAATAAAATAAATAACAAATAATAATATTCAATTATTCTCGAACAAATGGGGCGCTACAAAGAGCCTGTCGCGGGAAAGGATATCAGAGACGACCCGGTCGGGCGACGAGCGTTGAGGTTCTACTTGCAGAATGGGATCCTATACAAACAAGATGGAGAGTACGTGCTTAAGGAGGTGCACGAAGGATGCTGCAGCGACCACATAAAGGTTATGGCACTGGTTGGGAAGGTACTACGGGCTGGATATTTTTGGCCTAAGATGAGAACGATGGCGCAGGATCTTGTGCGAAAATGTAAGAAATGTCAGCAGCATGGTCCATTAATCTATCGATCGGCAGAGAGCATGGTTCCAATCAGCTCGCCCTTGCCTTTTACTCAGTGGGGGGTTGACATAGTTGGACCCTTGCCCCAGGAGACGGGCCAGCGAAAGTTCTTAATTGTGGCAGTTGATTACTTCTCCAAGTGGATTGAGGCCGACCCATTGGCGACGATCACATAAGAAAGGGTGATAAAATTTCTTTTAAATAATATCTGTTGTCGATACGGCATCTCCCGAGTGCTCATATCTGATAATGGAACTCAGTTCAAGGGTCAACGTACGATGAGTTAGTGTGAGGAGATGGGCATCAAACAGCAATTCGCCTCGGTAGCCCACCCCTAGGTAAATGGGCAGGCCGAGGTCGCTAATAGGTCAATTCTGAATGGGTTGAAGGCTAGGCTGGAAAGAGCTTCAGGAGCTTGGGTGGACGAACTTGATTTGGTGCTTTGGTTATACTGGACGACGCGAAGGACCTCAACGGGAGAGACTCCATTTAGTTTGGTTTATGGTATGGAGGTCGTCATCCCAGTTGAGATCGTCCTCAACTCAGAACGAGTTAGCACCTACACGGAAGAAGGGAACGTTGAGCTACGAATGGAGGCACTAGACTTGGTGGATGAGTTGCGTGACCAGGCTGGACTGAGGACAGCCGTTCATAAGCAGTGGATGAAGGCTGCCCATGACTAGTCAATCGAGCTCGCCGATTCCAAGTCGGGGAATTAGTTTGGCGTCAGGCGGATGCCTGAAGCATGTTGGGAAGTTGGAGCTGAACTGGGAAGGCCCTTATACTGTCGAAAGGATGTTTGCTGGAGGTGCCTACGAGCTTCGTGATGCGGAGGGGCGGCTGTTGCCGCGACCCTGGAACATATCCCATTTGAAGAAATATTATGCCTAACTTAAGAAGTGTTATTTACGTTTGCTTTTGTTCTTTCGACAAAACCAATAGTGAAATTGTTTTTGAAGTTTTATCAGCTTGATTCTTCTCTTGTATGGAATGTGTTGGGGCGAAAGCCTGTTAGTATCATCTAAGCTCGCGGAGCTAGGCGACGACCTTTGTAGGGTGAAAGCCTGTTAGTCTCACCTAAGCTCGCGGAGCTAGGGGACGACCTTCGTATGGCGAAAGCTTGTTAGTCTCACCTAAGCTCACGGAGCTAGGCGACGACCATCGTAGGGCGAAAGCCTGTTAGTCTCACCTAAGCTCGCGGAGCTAGGGAACGACCTTCGTAGGGCGAAAGCTTGTTAGTCTCACCTAAGCTCACGGAGCTAGGCGACGACCTTTGTAGGGCAAAAGCCTGTTAGTCCCACCTAAGCTTGCGGAGCTAGGCGACGACCATCGTAGGGCGAAAGACTGTTAGTCTCACCTAAGCTCGCGGAGATAGGCGACGACCATCGTAGGGCGTAAGACTGTTAGTCTCACCTAAGCTCGCGGAGATAGGCGACGACCTCTATAGGGCGAAAGCCTGTTAGTCTCACCTAAGCTCGCGGAGCTAGGCGACGACCTCTATAGGGCGAAAGCCTGTTAGTCTCACCTAAGCTCGCGGAGCTAGACGACGACCTCTATAGGGAAAAAGCCTGTTAGTCTCACCTAATCTCACGGAGCTAGGCGACAACCTCTATAGGGCGAAAGCCTGGTAGTCTCGCCTAAGCTCGCGGAGCTAGTCGACGACCTCTATGGTTGACAAGGTCGTCACGTGAAGTGGGGCATGTGAGTCTTAAAAGACTTAGCAATAATTGTGCTAGGTGCAAAATCCCATTGTCACGATGCTAAGTGTTTGTAAGACTTGGTGACTAAAGCTCGTCACGAAAGGATAGATATTGTTGCTTGTGAAATAATGAATTATATAAGTATGCGGCAATTGACATAAGTAACAGCAAACAGTAAACGTTGCATTAAGGCATGGTGCCAACAAGCAATGATTGAAGACAATTCACAGAAGTTGGAAAAGAAAAAGATGATTCATTTGAACATACCAAAACATACGACTAAGCGAGTTCAAGGTTACATGCCAAAATAACAGGAGTCCGTTCAACATATCTACTTCAACACAAAAGGAAATCGCATGTAAATCTACGAAGGTGGCGCAACGTCCTCCTACTCGAGGGTCTTCTCCACCTCCTTTGCAGCGGCCTCTACGGCTGACTCCCACAAGGATGGGTCACAGGAAGAGACTTGTAACACCCTGCTTATCAGAGTAAAATTTTCGCTTCTTTTAGTTCGAAAAATGATTATTAATTTTTAGAAATCTTTTGCTCGTAACTCGGGATGCTACTAAACTTATCTTTTCTGAAAATCCATTTTTCTTTAAGTTGGTCTAACTGCTGGTTTAGAAATAAAGAAAACAGATTTTTAATCTTTATTAAACAAGAATTTAAATTTCAAACTTGCATGTTAAGTATTTTTAGATTTTCAGACTTTAACCTATTCGCCAATATGAACGAGTAGTAAATTCTTTTCAATTTCTATCAGACAGCTCAGCGAATTTATTAGTCTGCTTTCTTTCACGCCACTATTATTAGAGGGGATTACTATTCACCGCCCCCCTATTACTATTTACCGCCCCCTTGGACATTTTTGCCCCTGCCATTTTTTTTCAAAAAGTAAAAAAAAAAAAAATATTGTTGTCCGGCCACCGAAACCGGACGGCCCAAATGGCGTCCGGCCCCGACGGCCGGTCGTGACCGGTCAGACCGGCCGGACACCATGTTTTTTTTTATTTAATAAAATTATATTATTATAAATTATTATGTTATATATTCAAAATAATTTGTTCAAATAAATTAATTAATATAAATTTTTTTATTAATATATTATTTTTTTCGTTTTAAATTAAAATAATTATAATTTTAAATTATAATTTATAATTTTTCATTATAATTAAATTATAAGTATTATTATAATTTATATAAAAAAAAATGACCGGACGAAATTTCCGGACGGCTTTTATGCCGTCCGAATCGGCCGGCCGGACGCCTTTTGAACCGTCCGGTTCCGGCGGCCGAACAATTTTTTTTTTTTTTTATTTTTACTTTTTGGAAGAAAATATTAGGGGCAAAATTGTTCAAGGGGGCAGTAAGTCGTAAAAGGGAGACGGTGGATAGTAAATGAGATTATTAGATTGGAGGATAGAATTGTTATATATTTCATGTCTCTATTAGTTTTTCTAGAAGATAAGTATCATAATTCATACGTATACTAGCAGATATTTATATTTTTTTTCCTCCTCTCCCTATTTTAACACGCCACTATCATATAATTAAGATTAGATATATATATTTTTTTTATTCGCCATTTTTTCGGGGGAAGCAGTTTATCGCGAGCTTCTCGGCCAAGGAGCAGCAGCTATGAGTGGAGTCGCTGTGATTTGAGCAGATGTACAGCGATAAGAAGTGAAAGCAGCAAGCTCTGTCAATAGCAGGCTATGTTCGAACCTTCATGCCCGCGCAGCAGTTTTTTCGGCGAGTTTCGCCGTCGATAGTTACAGCCGGTGACGAGGTACAACAATAGCTTTTATCTGGAAACATCATTTCCGTGAGCTGTGACGGCGAGCTGCGGGAAGAAGAAGAGCTTATTTCAATATATGAGCTTTTCAATATATGAGCTTATTTTCATGTCACGACTTGGGGTGCCCCGTCGGCCCTCGTTTAGCGTGCCGAGCATTAACGAGAGTGCTTTCGAGAAAACACGAGAAGAGGAGAACCCAATAGATGCGTTTATTTCGCATTTCGAGGTCTCGAGCATTTATTTTGAGAAGCTCGAATTCGAGTGTGCATATTAGTAAAATAAATAAAACGCCGATTTCGTGGGCCCCGCAAGGTCGCGTGTGATTTCAGTTCGGGAAACTAGTCGGGACGTGTAGACCTTTTTGTCACGATGTCATTCGAGCTATTTATCCACTATTTCGGAGTTCCGAGCATTTATTTAGAGGAACCCAAAGTTCACGGGTGAATAGAAGAAAAATGAGCGAATTTGTTGAGGACGAGTTCGAGCGTCTGAGGCTTCGTTTTTCTCGATTCTTTCAGTTTCTCATCTATTTGAGAGGAGGTATAAAGCTTGAATATTTGTAATTAATTTTGAGTATTTCAGTCCAAGTCTTATTCCGAAATTTAAGTATTTTTCCGAGCCAAACCAGTCCAGTATAAGTAAATCAGTTTTATTTCCGGACTTAGAAAACCATCATAGTGTTCTTTTATATCCAGATAAGTTATATGATAGAGTCAAGCATCCTAGCATCTTATTGAGTATACGAGCATAGTACTTAGTATATTTGTTTATATTTTTATGTAGCTTGCAGATACAGCTACCCAGCACAACACTTACAGTTTTCAAAGGTTTTCAAAAGAAGAACAGGTGGGGACCCAGCCTAGGTATTACGTTGCTTATAATCTTGTACCATGTATGAGGTATGTATGTAGATATTTACCCGAACGATGAAGTTATTCCGTTCGTAGTCCAGTTAAAATAAGTTTATCGCCCAGTCAAGGCTGGGTTCTGTAGGAGGCGACCCCAGAATGTGTTCACATGATAATCCGGCCAGTTTCCGGATGTTGCACCAGTTATAGTACACTTTATTTATGTATATACTTAGTTCATGATATTTGATTAAATGTGTTGTATATTCAGTATGGGTTTGTATGGAGTACAAGAGGATCAGTATTCACCCCCATTATGTTTTTCAGGTAATAGGAGCGGTGCAGAGATGTGAGCGGAGCAGTAGTGGTAGGGTCATGGATTCAGACAATTGTTATTTTAATTGGACATTTATTTATACTGTCCGTATAATATGTTGTTAAGTTTTCAGATTTTCGCTACCCATTTCAGGTTTCAAACCTGCATGTTAAGTATTTTAAAACTTACAGATTTTAAATTATCATTTTAGAATTTATTAAGTTACCTAAACAGTCTCTCTCTCTCTTGCGACAAAATACCCTCGTCTGCTACCTTCTTCTCGCCGTGTTGCCTTCCTCACCCGCGGCGAGGCTTTGGCCCGCCGTCGCCCCTAGATCGTTCGTCCTTCCCTCTGTCTCCTTAGCCGTCTACTGTTGCCATGGTGATTCGGCGATTGAAGATCTGCCCCTACCCTAGGTCGCCAGCGAAATCGCGATTCCCGGTGGTGCGCTCCTTTGGTCGGCGATTGGTCAAGCAATTGGTGGTGTCTATTGCTGGTGGGTCTCGATTGGAGGTGGTTGACCTCAAAATCCGACTTTGCAGTGATGGGAGGGTTCTTCCGTGGGCGGCCCCGTCTTCCCAGTGGGGCCCTGAAGGGGCTTTCGTTTTAGTTGCCGGCGGACTATGGTGATGGCCGGTAGGAGGGTCAACATGTGGGATGGGGCTTCAGCGGCTGTGACGTCCTTCGTCGGAGAAGCTAGAGTAGTGGGACTGTGTCGTTCTCTTTCTCCCCCCGGTTCTCTGGTGTTGGGGTCGGATGGGGTCCGGAGCAACCGAGTTTAGCTAGTGGTGTTAGATGAATTCGGGTTGTGAAGGTGCGGGAGTTGGTGTCGTGTTCCCTCGATTGGGGGTGGATCGTTCTGGGGCTAGGTTTGGGGCTCGAGTTCGACTGCTTGTATAGGCGTGTTCGCAGTTTCGGTAGTAGTGCCTGGGCTCGAGATTTTCCTTGGATTGATTGATCTCTGTGGGCCGAGCTCGTTGGCCGGTTGGGAAAGGGCTTTGAATGTAGTAGTTTAGTTATTTTATTTCCTGTTTTTGTAGGCTTGTGTTGTTTCGGTCTTGTGTTTTGATTTGGGTCGTTGGCCCCTGTGAGCCCGAGTGTCTACTTATTATCCTGTTGGGATCGGACACTCGGGTATTACCCTGTTGGGGTCTTTTTAGTTTCTTAGTTTTTCGTTTATTAGTGTTGTTGTGTGTCCGTGAGTATTACCCCCTTGGGGTCGGCTCTAGGCGGTCCTTGGACTGTCCTCTCAGTTTATTCAGTTGTTGGTTGTCTGTATTCAGCTGTTGGCTGTGTGTATTCAGCTGGTGGCTGTTCTTTTGCACATTTGTGCCATTTTATATAAAATCTCTATCGTTTTGGCAAAAAAAAAAGTATGAATATGGTCCAGTTACATGCATGTTTGATAAAATCTGTTTTCTTTATGTCTAAATCAGTAATTAAACCAAGTTTAAAGAAAACAGATTTTCAGAAAAGATAAGTTTTAGTAGCATCCTGAGTTAAGTGCAAAAGATTTCGAAAAAATTATAAGTATTTTCGAAGTAAAAGTTGCGAAAAATTTACTCTGATAAGCGGGGTGTTACAAGACTCGTCGTCGTTCCAATCCACTGGGTTAGGGAGGCCTCTCCTTAACTCGCCATTATCCATGGAGAAAGTGAAGCCTTGGGTCTTCGCCTCGGCTCGGGTCCTCGCGACCCCCTCCTGGAAATATTGAAGGCAGGACGTGACGACCCGGTTGAGGAACGCCGTTGAGTCATGGTAACGTGACAACAGCTCGACCCGGTAGTACTTGAAGAAGCAACCTCCGAGATCCAAGGAGAGAAAAGAATCTCGGCCTTTTTCATGGGCCTGGGCAATGCGCTCGTTGACTTCTTGTCGGAGCGCCTTCAGCTCGGCGTTCTTGGCTTCCAGCTCCATCTGGAGCATTTCTTTCTCAGCCTTCTCCTGAGCGAGGGCCTTCTTGAGGGTAGCAAGTCGATCATCCCTCTTGGCCACCTCGCCCTTCAGCTCTTTCACCTCGTCGGAGTCGCCCTCCAAAGCCTCACTAAGAATGGGAACTAGACCGGCCATGGCCTGTTTAAGGAAGAAAAGGTAGTCGTGCATTAACTTCATGTTATTAAGTTCTAAGGTATAAAGTTAAGACATGGTATCATACCTGACTAAGGTGGTACATGGTGTCGTGAGCTCGCCTCTCCTTGGTAGGCCATTTGGTGTTTCACGTTCGGGGAAGATGGAGAGGAAGTAGGAGTTTGTCTCTGATGTGTCTTTGTTGCCAACAAAGTGATTCGTCTTGGAGATGGTATCCTTCTGACCCTGGGTGGTGGCCTTGCGCTTTTTTGTAAAGTCCGCGGAGGGTGGCTTGCGATAGCGTTGCTGAGAGGTGACCTTGTTGGTGTCCCCAGGGCGGGTCGCCTGCTGCGACGGCTGGTCGGTGGCCACTGGGACCTCGTCGGCAATGATGGAAGCCGGCAGGATCTCGTTGGTGACGACGGTAGCTTTCGGGACCTTGGTGGAGGCGACGGTCGCCATAAGCTCTTCTGCAAGACAAGAGGCAGGAAACAATAAGAACATGAGCATGACATCTATGTAAAACGGAACGTAATGTTATGCAGAAGGAAGTGGGCGGTGTGGTAGTCGCCCACGGCACCAAGTGCCTACTTATGTCTTCCACGGGGTCAGCAGCACATCTGGACAGTTGGAAATGTCGAAGAAGCCAGTCATGGGAGGTGAGCTTCACCACGTGGAGCGGGTGATCATTCCACTGGCTGATGAGGGTGTCGTATTCAGCGTTTCGCTTTGGGTTCTTGCGTTGACCGGGTAGTTTGTCTAGCCAATCGGAGGGAAGGTCGAAGGTATCAGGAGGAGGACGTACTCCAGTTTTGAATTTTTTATTTTGGTTGGTCTAAGAAACGGACATTGTTGCGGCGCATAAGGTAAGGTGAGTCATTCATTATGAGACAGACCAGTACAACCATAGCTTGGGATCAAGTTCGCCGAGGCGGGCTCGGCATACCATGATAAAGCCAACAAGGCAGATCGCGTTGGGGGAAAATTGGTGCAAAGGTAAGTTATACAATAGACTCAACTGGAGTAAGTCGGGACGTAAAGAAAATCTCAGCCCGACACTCACTTGGTCCTGAAAGAAGCTATAACAGTCCGGTGGGGGATTCTCGTAGGAGTCGTCGGGTCGTGGAATTCTAAGTTCCCAATCTCGGGGCAATTCCATTTTTTTGACAAGCAAGGCTATTTGGGTATTCGAGTAGGAGGAGATCGGGTTGGAAAATATGGCCCGGGAGCGGGAAGCACCCTCGTTTGTAGTAGAAGAGGTCGGTGCGTTGGAGGTTGTGGACGTCGAGGCCGAGAGAGCTATGGCAATGGAGGGTGATCCTAAGGGTGAAGAACGTGAAGTAGAAGGAGAGGCGGAACTTGTATTACTCGTAGAGGTGGAGCTTGTGTTGCTCGTAGAGGTGGATTATTCTAACCTTCACGTAGGCGAAATAACAATCGACGATACAAAAAAATGGGGGAAGAGGGGATGCACAAATGAGATGGGTGAATTAACCCAAAAAAAAAAACAAAATGAATGATGAATATGTACATAACAAGGTTGGGATTAAAGCGACGTACCCATAAAGCTAGCCGACATGGTGTGCGATGGGGACAAGTGCTTGTCGGTATGGTAAAAGGGTCGGCATGCCCGGTCGGTGGATGGTGCGCGGTCGTTGGGACGGCAGGAGCTCAGCGTTCTCGGTGGAACGGGATGGGCTCGTCGGCGAAGGAACACGTGGTCGTCGGAGTGATGATTGCCGGATTCCGAGAATCATTGGAGAGCTTTTTTTTAGAAAGAGAATTTATGAGGGGAAGAGAGAAGATGATTTTTTGAAGTGGTAAATAAGAATGAGGAGAGTTGGGTATTTATAGGGGAAGATGAATTTTGATTGGGGAGTCTTGGGTGATCTTGGCCATTAATTTGAAATTGAATCAAGGGAGGAGATTGAGACTTGGGGAGCAAGTTGGTGGGTAGATGAAAGAAGGGGGCATGTGTGATGAGGTAGGTGGGCATGGTTGGAGGAAGTGAGAGCATGTGACATACATTTTTTCGCCCAATACCTAGGCTCGGCAATTGTGCTCGGCATCTCGTGGCTGAAAGAACGCGTGGCGCGGCTCTATACTTGGCGCATCAGCATTAGTCGCGACAGGTAGGCGTCCCGGTCTCGGCAGGTCGGCGTCGACAGTAGCATGGGCAGCTCGTCGGCTCAGCAGCTCAGCTCGGCAGGTCGGCAGAAGGGCAACTCGGCAGCTCACCAGGTAGGCGTGTGAGCAGATTGTTAGGTTGGCGCGAGAGCAGCTGGGCAGGTCGGCAGAAGGGCAACTCGGCAGCTCGTCAGGTCGGCGCAGGAGCAGCTCGGCGGGTCGGCACAAGGGCAGCTCTGTAACGCCCCACTTTGATTTAAGAAATAATCCATGGCTTATTCAAAAATCAGGTCAACATTTTCGAAATTCATTTTTCAAAATCCATATCATTAGGGCATTATCTTGATTTCATTTCATATTTGAAACCTCACGGGAATTCATTACCCGGTTTTTCACATGGACTTCATTGTCCTAAACATAACAATTCACCAGATATTCAAATAACACATTCATCATGAATATCCAAACATAGTTCAATAATAAGAGCTAAATCATATGTTCAAATCCAACATAACTCAAACGACATGGTCTGAAAGAAATCAACATGTTCAAAACCCAAACAATTCAAGTTCATAAATTCGGGTTAATTTATTCAAAATAATGCAAATATGACCATTTACTCGTCATCCTGCCGTCGTGCCCGCCTTGCTTAACCTGAAACGTGGATTTCAGGTGGGGATGAGCACAGTTGGAAACATGTCGTGCTCACCACTATGCAATAAATCATGTACAATATTAGTTAGGCATGGTTGCAGCATGAACACGAATCAATCAATTATCACATCTCCTAATCATAACATTTTTACTCAATATGCACACCTATCATTAGCCATTGAAGGACATACAGCTCACAACAATGAGAGTAAAATACCGAAGGACATACAGCTCACAACGGCCTTGGCTATCATTAGGCTAGGGAGACTGCCTATCAAAGGCACCATCGAAGGACATACAGCTCACAATGAGGGTTACATGGTTCACACGCATGCATTAATCACACCATTCAACAAATATAAATAATTTATAGCATAGACGATTTTTTAATAAAACCCACTTGGTCACAAATAGGAGATAATCACGAAAGCACGATTAGGCTGCGAGCTCGGCTCGTCAAACACCTACATTAAGTCCAGATGCTATAATCAACATCTATTCTGACTTAAACGAAAAATCACAATCATACTTAGTCGAACTTGATTCAACTAAGTTGTTCGTGAAGTCCTGTGGACGTTGGAACACTTAAACTTGACATCTAGACTCAACCAAATACACATGGGAGATCACATAAGCCCAAAAATTAACATTGACCAAGTCAAACACTTAATGAAACAAATGACGAGTCGGTTTACAGTTTTTATTCTAAAAACCCAATTTACGATTATACTAGTATAAATCACAAAAATGAGTTGACCAAGTTTCCATATGAATTTAGCTCTCAAATTTTAACGAATATTTCACCTTCCAGAGTTAAGCACATACACAAATTTTCAGCTTCAAATCCCAAGTACACTATTTTATAAAATTCCCACAAGATTTCAGCAAAACTGAGCCATGAATTTATACTCAAACTTAATGAATGATCCAGGACTTGATAATCTTACAAAATACACTACAGCATGACATAAACAACATATAAAAACCTTAGCCCTTAACATTAACTGCTGTTATTTTTAAAAATCCAAACGAGATTCTGCAGTTTATCGAATTTAAATCAAAACTGAATCAAAATGAAGTCTAAAAATTTTCATATTTTAACAGCATGAATAAATATATACAATAAGCAACTCAATAAAATTTTAGAATTTTCCAGCAACATCTCAATTTATTAAAATTAAATTATGAAACTGCAGAAAACAACAAATAATTTTTACTAATAGCAAACAAAGTCCAAAAATTCCAAAACGTTTACACGACCTATAAAACACACAGGAAGATAGGATATTAAAATTTCATAAATATTGAAGCATAACTGAATTTAATATGTATTTTACATGATTCTGCTCAGATTTCCAAACAATTATAACAAATAGCTAAACATATTATTTAAATCTGAAATCTTTACACAACATGTATTTCCAATAGAGGGTCGAGCACATAAAATTTCACTTTGATACGAGCATCACAGAATTTATCATAATTTATATAGCAAAACAGCGATTAAACAATTTCAATAATTAATAACCGACTCGTTTTACGACGAATCCGTCCGAAGTCTTCGCCATAAGACTAAGGACGATGTAAGTTCCAGCCCACAGCAACCAATTCACGAGTTGACGAGGCCTCATTCGATTTTCCAAAATCGAAAGGCTCGTCAACGCAAAATTTCATATTCGACATAACAATAACCTCACAAACACAAATAAAATCACATAAGCATATTCTCATGAACTCAAAATTCACATAGTACAAACAAATACACAACATAAATGAGACGAGTCGAGCCTTGTACCGTTCTCGGAAATAAACGAAAACGGAACGAACGGTTGACGGAAAGCTCGGTGGCTCGAGGAGAGGGTCACCGGCTCACACGCAGCGGCTTGAGTGTGTCTGTGGCGGAGCAGCAGTGGTCGAGGGCGCTGCAGCTGGTGGTCCGCGGCCTAGAGATCGCGAACGGAGGGTTGCTCGCCGGAAAACAGGTTCACGTGAGAACGATGGCGGGAGAGGATCGCGGGGAAAGGGAGATGACGGGCTTGCAGCGTTTGAGAGGGGTTCACGGCGCTGCTGGCTTGTCGTGGTGGCGAGATGGGCCTGACGAGATGATGGCGACGGGATGATCGAGTTCTCGCGAGGAAGATGATGATGCTGGCGAAAAGCGAGGGGTGAAGATGATGACAATGGGCGATGATGGTTGAGAGGGATGATGATAACGATGAAGGCAAGGGGTTACCTTCTCTGCTCAAGTCGCCAGATCGAGAAAAACAGATGAGAGATAGAGAGGAGGGTGAATACATACGTATTTATATGTATAATAGCCTAGGTTAAGAATTCTTGTACAAAAAGAAAACTCATACACATGGGCTCAAAGGTAGAAAATCGGTTCCAGGCTCGGGCCGAGCTGTTTGGGCTTGGTTTGGCTCGGGCTCGATTTGACATCTCAATTCGGTTCGGCTCTCGGGCCCGACTCGACGTAGCTTAAATACTGTTTTCTCGGGCTCAATAAATTAAATCGCAAGATAAAATAATGAACCTTAAGATATATATAAATATATTATACATAATTTAATTTTTAAAATAGTAATAATTATAATATTAGTAAAAATACAAATACACAACTTAATAATTTAAAATGATAACATTTAGACATTTTGGCAATTAAATAATATTTAGACAATTAAATCACACT